TTTTTTTTTTTCTTTTTTCTTTCTTTTGCGGATCACCCCCGCTTGTTGCGAATCGTCGACATTTTGTAGATATCGGCAAGCGGAGCACGTAAATTTGAAAATATTTCCATCTTCACGAAGGGAGAGACGAAAGATCGAGGGCTGGATGCCACTTTCAGCGCGATCAAGTTGTTCTCCTGATTTGATGCCCTTTTGTGACGGGGTGTGAAATGTTGCGCGCGGGGCGAAGGTTTTATGAAAAGTGGTTTCCCCTTATCTTGGAAATTTGCAAACATAACTATGAAGTTAACTGGCTGACAGGTGTTTCGGAAATTTGGAAAAGATGTTCATTTTGAGTATATTGTATCTCCCTTTTTTTAAAATTATTTTTAAGATTCACAAAAAAATTGCAAAGTTAATTGAAGGATAGATTTTTTTAAGTATTTTACACATGAATTTTGAATATGATAATTTGGAAACTAGTTTGATAAAGTTTTGCAAACTTTGATAATTTGAGTGCCTCTTAAAATAGTCAAAAGAGTATCTATATCTCAAATATATTTTATTTAAATTTCAGATCTTCTTTTTTTCGTATAACATATTTATCTATTCTGTAACCTTTTATTCATTTAAAGTATTCTTCTGTTACACAATTCTATATAATTTGAATTTTTATAGAATAATTGATTGAAGTCATTGATTTTTATAAATTAATATCATTTATATCATATACTCTGTTTAATATAATAACGAGATTTGCAGATTTTTATGCAAATTCACGTGTTTGCAAGAATCTAACAAAGAATAGTACTTTAATAAAATTATTCTATCTACTAAATTAAATCTAGAAAAGACATTTACACAGATATCACGTTACAAACATCGCGTGTATTTCGAAATATCCGTAGTCGAATTAATAACGAACCATTTCTCGATCTTCACGAATCAAACCGAATTGTATCAACCCACTGAACGAAAATTCACGCACGATCTAAAACATACACAATCTAAATTTCTCAAAGAAAAAAAAAACCTTACACTAACATCTACCGGTAAAAGATGAGACCTCTTACCGCTTCTCTCTCGATCTTCTTTTCCCCGGTGTGTGCTGGGCAAAAAAATGAACGAACCAACGTCGAGAAACAATGAAGGTCCGTTGAACGTTTTTCACAATTTTTTCGCGAAACTCGTCGGATGAGAAGGATATCGCGGATATATAGGAAATGAGAGAATAGCACGGTCCAGAGCGATAGAGTGAGCGAAAGCGAGATCGAGAGAGAGAGAGAGAGAGAGAGAGAGAAAGAGAGAGAAAAAGGGGTGGCAAGGGGGTGGTTGAGAGTAGAGTGGTTGGCTGTAAGCGGCTTTGGTTTCCATGGCAGTAAGCCCTCATTACTGTATTACGGGCAGCCCCTAACTACCAGCCGAACGCAACGATTTGCTTCTAGAACCTCTATGAGGGTGACGGATCATGCAAGATTGTTTTCCGCGTGTCCGGGAAACTCCGATATTCCAATCTGCCGGAAATATTCCCTTCTGACGTAGTTCCTCTTCACCGACGTTGCGATACACCAACAAATGATCGCACGTTTTAAATCCAAGACTTTAGTATGCGCGTACGTATTACGTTGCGATTTATGAGTAGACTGTGTGCACTGGTTCGTGAATTCATCGCGGGTATATCACATTGCGTTGATTTGAAGGAAACAAGAAAAATCTTTATTTGCTCTTTCTTAAGTTCCTCAAGTGTATAGAAATTCGAGCAATTGGCAAAGTTAAGGAATAGTGGAAATGATTTTTGCTTTATCTCGAATAAATTTTTAACTTTCTATGTTACTTTGTTCAGATATAAAGAAATTCTTGTCAGTCCTTTTTCACTCGGAAGCATTTTTTGATATATTTCAAATAATTGGAGGAGTTTACTCTTATGGTACTCTGGAAATGACGTTTGTTTTATTACAAATAAATGTTAATCCTCTGTAACATCGTGTAACTTGAATCCATATATTTATATTTTGAAAATTTTATTTTATGTATTTTGCAACAAAGAATTATTTATAACAATTATTAGTTGTCAGATTTTAAATTGGAATCAATTGTCTTTTCCTCTTATAATTAAACAGAGGTTGGGTTACAGATTCTTCTTACTTTGTCCAGAATAATAATAAATTAT